TATTGTCAACTATTTTTTTTTCCCAAAAAAGAAATGCAAAAACATGGAGGTTAAAACAAAGCTGGGTGAAAAGGTGCTTACAGAGATAAGCTCTAAGGTTGATGTAATAAAAGCATCATGGAAGTAATGCATTTCAAAGTATTTCAATAAAATTCATCTAACAAAGATTAAGGAAGTAACTTTAGAACATTTTAGGGTTTTTTTGTGATTCTTTTTGTTTTAGATTTTTAATATATAAGCACATCTTCCATTTCAAAAGCATACTTTTTCAGTGTTCTTAATATCTTGAGAGATGTAAATGTTTTGAGAGATGGAATATTTTAGTTATAGTAATAGAAAACCCATCTACTTTAAGGGGGGAGGGAAGGAAAATCGCTTCAAAGTTACTCTCAAGTTCCAGGGATATCCTATGGACTCACTGGCTGTAATGCAACCAGTCATGAGAAGCAGACTGCAACCTGGAAATGAAGGATTCCCTCACCAGTAATCTGGGGTGAATGGTCATCCTCTCTTTGCTCTCTGTTTCAGGGTGCTGGCTCCCTTCTGCTGACTGCTTCTCTGACATTCCAACCACAAGAAAAAAGATAGCTATATTCTGGTACCTAAATAATCAAGAAACTATATATCTATATTGGTCAAGAAACTGATACAGAACTCACGGGAAGAGATTATGATTGACCTAGTCTGTGTCTATGCCCACACACCTGATATGGTGGTGTCATAATGAAATAACATAAGGGGAGATGAACATATTCATGTAGAGAAAGTATAATATACAAAATAGGAATCTATAAAGTATTAAATTTTATGGAATTTTATTCATTTATTTGTCCATAAGACAAATAATGAAAGCTTATGATATTTTAGACACTGTCCTACACACTGACTATTCAGATAGTGAAAGAGGTAGACAGGGTACTGAGCTAAGTTGCTCTCATGAATTATAAAAATTAGAGTGGTTTCATCAAAACAAATAATAACACAAAATACTACCAACTCACTAATTAGAGAAAAAAAGAAAGATGCAAAATCTTTTATTTTATTTTATTTTTTTATGTTTTATTTATTTCTAGGAGACAGAGACAGCGTGAACAGGTCAGGGTCAGAGAGAGAGGGAGTCACAGACTGAAACAGGTTCCAGGCTCTGAGCTGGCAGTCAGCACAAAGCCCGACGCGGGGCTCGAACCCACAAACCGTGAGATCATGACCTAACCGAAAGTCGGATGCTTAACCGACTAAGCCACCCAGGTGCCCCTGGAAAATCTTTTAAAAACACAAGTAATTTCTTATGTTCTTAAAGACAAAAATTAATTCCAGGATTAAATTTAAGATCCTTACCTATGATATCTCTCTGAATACATTATAGGTTTGAGTCATTCTTACAGCAGAGAAAAGTGTACACCTGTGTTAAGAAGTTGTTCAGTGAATTACAGTCACATAAATATATCTGAAGACTATATAATAAATAGAGTAGGTTAATGTAAGACTACTACTTCCTCATACAATTCAAAACTTGTGGAACATGACTGCATAATGTAAAATAACTAGATTTCCTTTACATGCACTGAATTTATTGTAATGTCCCAATATTGGACAAATTAGGTGCTTCCTTCGGAGGGAAGCCACAAAGAACATAAACGAACCATAAGGTATTTCTCAGGAGCGAAATTTTCATATGAAAGTCTCCCCCTACTATTGAAAAGAAGAGTGTTCCTATGAAGCCCTTCCTACTCTGAAATAGCGTGAAGCAAAGAGGCAATGACCATTTTGTAAAAGTGAAAATCCTCTTCAGATTTCTTTTGTTTAGCAAAAACAAGTAGTATCATAGGTTTTAGACAATGGTGAAGTGACATGAAAAGCAAAGTTTTGAATAATGGAGAAAACCTGGAAATGGGGAGCTTTCAGCATAGTCTAAGGTACAGTTAGAGATGGCTCATCCAATAGTCCTTGTTTTAACGGCTCATTCAGAAAAGTACTTCTAACACTGAGCTCACCAAAAAAACAGAATAGACATCTGGAGAGTTCAATCTTTGGGCTACTTTTTGGTCTAAATCTTTTCAATCACCCTTGATGATTTTATCTATGCCCCAAATGTTAAGTAGTTAATTTGGAAGCTGATATCCCCTGGATACCTATCTATGGTATAATGCTCTCTACCTCTCCAATTTAATACTTTATTTCATGCCAAGTTTATCTTCATCCACACTATACTACAGCTTCCATGAAGGTGAAAATGATGTGTTATTTACTTACATACATGTGTCTAATATCTAAAGCAGTAAACATTAAGTACACATGTATTAACTTTGACTTAGAGCCTTCTTTCTAAGCCTTCACTTATATTACTTCCATCAGAATGCCTTTCTCTTCCATACACCTTGTAAGTCCCTATTCATTTTCTCATGATTCAGTTTAAGCATCTTTTTTATGAGATCTCTCCTGAATTCTTCAGAATTAGCCACTCCTTTCTTTGCCCAGCACCCACACCTACTATTAACAAAAGACCATACCTTCATTCAGATTTTGGTATCTTATTTCTGTATTAGCAACTAAAAATCTTTTATATATGCATATATACATACTATATACATTACACACACACACACACACACACGCACACATACATATACACAATACTTAACATATCACACAACCATAACCCTCTACAAGACTATAAGATTGTTAAAGTCAAAGACAATAGATTACTTGCTATTGTATTCTTGGGCTAAGACTATTTACTGAGTGAATAAATAAATGTCAAAATTAGAAATAGTTATTTTCCAAAGGAACAACAGATAAGTGAAATAACAACAAAAAAGTTGCTTTTAGTAAGAAAAAAAAACATTAAAATTACCTTTAAATAAATAGATGAGAATAAAGATATGTTCATGGGTCAATACTAAGCTTACATGAACTTTTAGACATGCTACTTAGATATCAACAATTTCTTTTTTAAAGAAACAACTTATTACTTGTTCCAAGTAGAATCCTTGGTCTCCCTGATTTTATTCTTTCCCAAATCTGTTTATTTTTTACTCAAAATGGTTCCTAAAAACCCTTTTTAGGAACAAAAATAAACCATGTTTTCTATCCAACAAAACAGACCATGTTGCTCAAAGACCTGTATGTTATTTTCATTTTTCTAAATATTAAAAATGACTTACTATTTTTGATCATTGTATTCTGTTACCTTATAAGAGCTTAATAATTTTAAAATATAAAATATATAACAATCATAACATTTTATGTTGCTTATGTTAAAGACTATCAATTACAATATCCATGACTATTTCTTGTTAAGCCAGTGGAATCTAATTCCATGTACAGCAAACAAAGCCAAGAAAACATAAGAAGAAATACAAAGATCTTAGATTGACTTTTAAAAATTTTCTCATATTATTCTGATTGAGTAAATTATTTAACCTATTTCTTTTCCTTGATTCAGAATTCAGATCTCAGTTTTCCTTTTCTGTAACATCACTGTTTCTTGGCATTTCTAACAAATCAGCTCATATGCCATCAAAATCTTATTTTGATATTGAACAATAAAACTATCTGCAAACAATCAACACAAGTTAATAGCTTATAAACAAGATTTAATACCTAATGATGCAATCCTTTGAGGTAGCCATTCTAGGATTGCTTACAAGTTCTCTTCCCGGAACAATAGTCCAACCCAGAAAAAAAAAGAAAAGTGTTCAGCTACTTTTAGGTTATCTCGGTCTAAACGTTAGAAAATTTTTACTATTTACTTTTCATAACAAAGATGTCATAACTAAAAATCATAATTATTAAAAAAGTTTTGATGTATTAACTTGTAGAACCAGGGCTCTCCCTGTCAGGCAGTAAAATATGGAAACATCTTCAGTCCTCTATACCAATCCTAATATGATTGATAGTCATTTTAAAAACAAGTATCATCAGCTTTATAGTGCTATTTAAGTTTTGAGGTGGTTTATTTTCTGTGATTGTTACCTTTCTAGAAATATTTATTACATTCAAAGTATTTAAAAATCATTGGTCCTTTGTTTTTTTTACTACTTATCTAGGTACAGAATTATTTAGATTATTATAGTTATTTAAATAATTCACTGTCTCCTGAACAGTTTACTGCAGCAGTATTTGAAACCCTTTTATTTAGATTTACATAAGACAGTACTCCTGAGAAAAGTGTAAATATTATTGAAAACACTCAAATAAATTAAAGAGATGCTGTTATTTAAAATACATCTTGTTAGTTCTTATAAGAAGAATAAATTCATAGGTGTGTGGAAGATCATATCTCTTTCAAGTTCAGATATTCCTATATCTATTCTGGTTAAAGCAAAACATAAGAAACTGAAGGCATTAAGCAATGATAGTCTGTTAAATAGATAAGGATGTAAAAATGAGAGTCAAAACAAGTTTGTACAAGGACTGGTTGTCTCTGAGTAACTATATTTATATGCATTTATGTGCATGCATATATCAACCTATATAAGAACTTATAATTCCCTGTGTCTAATTTTACTAATTTGTAGGTTTCAAAAAATGGATGTCATTTTTCTCCTACAGGTAATAGTATTACTATTATGGTAATATAGAATAGCCTGAAATTTCCAAAGTGAAAGAAGAGAGACAGAAAGTAAGATTACTAAAGTTACCAATTCTTATCTGATTGGTCCTTTGACTCTCCTAGTCCTCAGCCTAAGACTTTTCCTTTTGCCTGCAATTCAGAAAAAGGCAGACTTAATAGATATCATGTACAACACCCTGACAGAATCTTTCACCTGTCTTAGGATAAAAGTAACTGCTCTAAACTCAGGGTGTCAGTCACAATGGCATTGTTACTGTTGTTCTTTTCCTAGACATGCCTCGGTATCTCTCATCTTCTGCCTACAGTCATGGTCCCTGCCGGGCAAAAGAGCATAGGCATCAAGTTCAAGCAAGCTGGTCTGTCTTTACGCATTGTGACACCACCATCCACTCACAGAGAAGAGAAGAGAAAGAGACAGCTTTACCCGCAGAAAGGAGAGGTCTCGGTTGTGCTCGATGCTGGTTATCTCCAGGTTACCCATGACTACCTCACAGTTCTCATAGTATTTGCGCAAGGCTCGATACTGCTGCTCCAGGTCAGAGAGAGAGCTCAGCTTGTTCTCTGTTCCTGCACACACTGCCAAGACAAGAAGATACACAGGAAGTTATATAACCTTTCTATGCCATGCACAATGACGAAGTTTCCCTCAACTCTCGACTCCACACACTCTGTTCTGATTCCCTGAAATAAGTATTTTGAATGTCATTAACACCCATAAGCCACACTGATACATATCTTCACTTTTATTTTTCCCCAGCTGTAGGGAGAAATAATTTATATACATATATATAATTTATATACATATATAACATTGTATAAATTTAAGGTATATATTTGATACATATTTGAAATATTTACATATTGAAAAAATGTTTATCACCATAGCATGAGCTAACACCTTCATTAGGTCTCATAATCACCATTTCTTTTTTTTTTTTTTTTAATTCTTATTTATTTGTGATGAGGGTGGGTAGAGAGAGGAAGATGGAGGATCTGAAGCAGGCTCTGTGCTAACTGCAAAGAGCCTGATGAGGGGCTCAAACTCATGAACTCTGAGATCATGACCTGAGCCAAAGTCAGATGCTTAATCAACTGAGCCACCCAGGCACCCCATAATCACCATTTCTATTTTTAGTATATGTGCTGCCGAAGCGAGCACACACCATTTCTTTTTTATAGTGACATTTAAGATCTATTCTATAAGCAACTTTCAAGTATATAATATAGTATTGTTAATTATAGTCACCATGCTATATTAGAGACACAGCATGTTATAATTGGAAGCCTGCACTCTTGGATTGGTATCTCCCCCTAAGCCCCTCATAGCTATCACTCTACTCTCTGTTTTAGGAGTTCAGCTTTTTCAGATAGGAGATATAAGTGATAGCATAGTTCTCTATTACTAAATTGCATGTTCTAAAGACAGAGAATAAGAAGGCATGGGTTCCAAAGAAACAAAGCAAAGAAGGAAATTAAAATAATTGTAGTAACACATAAAGCATGTAAATACATTAATTTCATTTAAACAGCATTTTCTTTAGAATTTATAATTTACTGTATTTGCTAAAAGAGTAAATATACATATGTAAAAAATAAAAAAGTAAATATAAAAATTTTATTCTTAAAAATATTTTTTCTATTGCTAAATAAGTTGCTCTTAAGTACATTTTTTAAATAATTAAAACTTGTGCCAGTAAGTCCTCAAAGATACATTTTAAAATACAAATGTTAAACAATTTAGACTGTTATATTCATAAACATGTACTAGAAACAGAATTATGTTATAAAGTATGAGTTTTATTGATATCAATCAGGTCATCTTCTGTATATTCATTAGTATTCTAAGGTATAATGGACTGATAGTAAAGGATCTCAATATGGCTTCTCTAAGGGCATGGAAAATGAGCCTGCTCATAGGTGAGCATTGAGTGTACACACATTTTTTTCTTTTTTCTTTTTTTTTAATTTTCTATGTTGATATTTTTCCTACCTTGCAGAAGTCAGAGTTTTAGTTATTACTTCTCATGGTTTGTATATCTGCCTGAACAAGATCTTTATCATTTAATGTACCAATTCCAATCTTCAATAGCCTGAAAAAAAATCCCATTTTATGAATCTTGTAATAATAGTATGAAAAGTTAAAAAAAAGGTGTGAACTTATCTTCTTTGAGTAAGTTACATAATATATAGCAACTCAGGCAAGATATAAAGTGTAAACTTTGAAGACACTGGAAACAGAGCTGCATAATAAAGTCATGTAAACAACTGTATGCTATGCACACAGAATTGACAAGTCATAATGGTTTAGTGGTATTCAAGGAAATGTGTTTCTATGCACAAAGGAAAAACATATCTAGATGGATACATTCCAATAATTAAGACCACCTTAACAGCTGTTGTTGCTTACTGACATATCAAAAATCTAAATATAAAAGTCTTGAATAATAATGTAGACCTTGGACCATAGGGGAAGCTCATTGCTAAAATAAAAACAAGACACAAACTTTCCTCATCTGGATGTCTAAACTTTTATCACACAGTATATTTTCTAGAAATATAATTTTGTAAGTGAAATTATGTCCCTCTAAAAGACATGTTGAAGGCTAACCCCCCGGTATCTGTGACTATCACCTTGTTTGGAAACAAGATCTTTGTAGACTTAGTGAAGTTAAGATGAAGACATTAGATAAGCTCTAAATTCCCAATATGATAATGGCTTTCTAAGGAGAGGACAACACCATGTGTCTACAAAGATACATGGTGAAGAGAGGGGGGCAAAAACATGTAACATCTTTAACTTCAAAGGGAGTGAGATGCAGCTGTATGCCATGGAATGTCAAGAATCGATGGCCATTACCAGAAGCCAGGAAGAGGCAAGGGAGGATGCTCCCCAGTCCCAGAGGCCCTGTTGACACCTTGGTATTAGACTTTTAGCCTCCAGAACTGTGAAAGAATAAATTGCTATTGTTCTACGGTTTTTGGTACTTTGTTAGAGCAGTTCTAGAAAACTAATACACTAATACATCATATTTAGATCGTGTCTGAAATCTGACATATAAAGAACTGTTAAATATCACTTCCTCTCTTCAGAGTCCTGTCAGCCTATTACCTCCAAGCTACTCTGCTGCCTTCTCCCTTGTGGAACAGCAAGTCTCTTACACACCATGCTGAAATTCATTTGTTACCTTTGAGAATGCAGTTTTAGTACAATGCTAGGGATAGAGGCAAAGACTTCTTGAATCTTCAATACCCATTCTCTTCTTCCTTCATAGTAAATAACTGTACAGCCTTAACATGGGCATATGGCCACCCCCCAAAAAAAAGATTACATTTCATGGCTCCCCTTGGAGGTAACTTTGTATGATATCTTGCCAGAATGTCATTTAAAATATGATTGGGGTAGATTTTGCCTCTTTGTTCACACCTTCCTTATGCTGTCTGGAATGGGAATGGGATGGCTAAACCTTGATCCACCATCCTGGACCATAAGACCTAGGGACACACTCTAGATATTTGCTGGGAAATGAGCTAAAAGGAACCAAGGTTTTCAAACAATTAAGGTTTTACATAGTTTTATTATCATTAACATAAAGATAATGGTGAATTTTGGTTATAGCTGCTAAAATATTATAAATAGGAAGTATTAAATTCTACTTAAGTTATATGCTTTTGACCTTAAGTATTTTTTTTACTATTCTGTTCAGTTGTTTGACTAAATAAAATTCAATTTGGAATGAAATTACAAAACTACTCTTTTTCTTTTTTAATTTTTATTTAAATTCCAGTTAGTTAACATAGTGCAATATTAGTTTCACATGTGGAATTTACTGATTCAGTATTTACATACAACACCCCATGCTCATCACAAGTGCCCTCCTTAATCTCTATCACCTATTTAAACCACCACTTGCCCACCTCTCCTCTGGTAACACTCAGTTTGTTCTCTATAGTGAAGAGTCTGTTTCTGAAGAAACTAAAAAATCATTCTTGACCATTTGAGCATTTTTACTGGTTCTGTGGAAGATTCACTTATTAAAACTAACAAACATCAAGAAAAAGATAATTTCTGTTGATAAGTACAATATTATTCAACACAGCAGGTTAACAAGAAATTATTGACTCATGTACATGATCCTTACCAGCTAATATCAAAGTCTAATTTTTAAAATTTTTTCTCCAATATAGTCTAGAGATAGTCTAAGAAACACCATTGATCAATAATGTTTATTTTTAATGCTTCTAGCAAATTTATATCAAAATCTTTATAAACTTGTAAAATGCTGAGAAAAGATACTATGATATGGGTTTATGAAATACAGATTTCCAATATTTAAAATCCAATGAGAATAAGCTTATATTTTAAAACAACTATTGGTGGGGTATTTATACATCAATTAATAAACTTGCTGCACTATTTCTAAAATATATGCAATGCCACACTAAAATTTATATACAACTTATGTTGCATAATTTTTTCAATTGGAAATAAAGTCTCTAATATCAATATAAAAAAACCAATATGTAAATGCCTAAATGAAAATATTTCTAAAATATTTACTGTATTTTATCCTTTTTGGTGGAAACTTGAATGAATCTGGGGAGAAATATTTATTCATATAACTAATAACTAAGCATTTTTCCAAATTTCTCATCCTGCATATACAAAAAAAGAACATATACTATGAAATTACTACTATTAGCTATGAACTATTATAATAATCTCTTTATATGGGAAAGCACAAAGGCCATAAACTCTTCGAACAGGTACAATTTATGATGTTTTTTAAAAGTAGTCTCTATACCCAGTATGGAGCCCAACCTGGGGCTTGAACACACAACCCTGAGATCAAGAACTAAGCTAAGACTGGGGCACTTGGGTGACTTGGTCAGATAAGGATCTGACTCTTGATTTCAGCTCAGGTTATGATCTTGTGGTTCAAGAGTTTGAGCCCCAAATCAGGCTCTGTGCTGGCAGTGGGTAGCCTGCTTGGGATTCTGTCTCCCTCTCTGTCTTTCTCTGTCCCTCCCCTGTTTGGTCTCTTTCTCTCTCAAATAAAACCAAACTTGAAGAAGAAGAAGAATTAAGAATTAAGAAGAATTTAGGAGGAGGAGGAGGAGGAGGAGGATTATTAGAAGAAAGAAGAAGAAAAATAATTGATCTGAGATCAAGAGAAGGATGCTCAATCCACCGAGCCACCCAGGTGCCCCTTTAATTTCTTTTTCTTTCTCTTTTATTTTATTTTATTTTAATTTTATATTTTTGTATTTGCTGAGCTATATAGCATAGTGATTTGCAAGAAATTATCACTTAATAATATCCATTTACTTGCTATAAAACAATTATAACTGGTATTCATAAAATAACCTTCAATTCAGAAAAGTTTCCATTGTTAAATAACTGATCATTTGTGTTTTGTACATACCATATGAAAACCTAAATTTGGAATGAGTATGCTGGGAAATATTTTTCTACAACAAAAAATCCTCCAATAAACAGAAAGTCTGATTAATTAGAATATCCTCCAAACGCTCTAGTCTTCGGAAGTTTTACTACACACCGTTCAATTTAGGAAATG